ACACACACACACACACACACACACACACACACACACACACACACACACACAGTTTTTGCCCATTCATATGGAAGCCTACATAAATTTATCCATTGATGACAGCCCACATAAACATTTCCATCTCATACTATAAAAGGTCAGAAATCAAATTTTATTCTCCACATCAATAGTAATAAAATGGAAACATTATTAAGGATATATGTAACACAACATCACCTTTCTTTTCAAGCTTTCTAATAGTCTCTTCAGTTTCATGTTGCTTACTCCTGTATAAAGTTTTCAATTCTTCAATTTCATTATTCTTTCTTTCTAAAATCTGCAAATAAATTTAAAATGTTTTAGTATATTGTATTACTTTATGTATAGGACACTTAAAAAATCCTGACATATTTAATTTCAATACATAAATAGAAAAAGTGATTGATTCCAACAAATATGACTACACTGTGAACTTTATGTATATATACACATAAAGTAGTACCTCTTATCCACGGTTTTACTTTCTGCTGCTTCAGTTAGATGTGTTTTTGTCCATATCCATGTTAATAATTCTAGCCTAGTCAGAAGTTCACATTTTGCTCTTACAGCAGCTAAGAGATAGAATCTATATGATCTGCCACACTTGGAAGTTTCCAAGTTGTCTAGAATCGTGAGATTTTCCTCCTTTTGACTAGTGAACATTGCCGCAAATTGGAATTGTAGTGATTTAGTGACTTTCTAAATTGATCCTCAAACGCCAGTGTTTCATAAATTAGGTAGAAGGGCTTTGTCCTGAAAAGGAATTAGGGATTCTTTTTTTCAGATTAGTGTAAAAATGGGTGAAATTTTATGTATCTAATGTTCTCTTCACATATTTTTCTTATACTTATGGTATCTACTGTTGTTCATCTGCTAGCAAATTCCAGCGGATAATAAGTGAATGATGAATTAGCAGGCATACATTAATAGAAACCATAAAGTACCAATCATATAACTTTTCAATGAGCACAATATTTTTGTAAGTCTATCTCAGCTAATCTCATAAATTGTTTCCCCAAAACTGTAAAAATTATCATAGTGCATTAAGAAAATTATTAAATATATAAAAATAATTGATTATCTGAAAGAAATATGTTATCTGTTTCAGATTTTCATATAACAATATTTTAAGGAGAGTGTATAAATAATAATTTAGGTGATTCCCTAAAATATAATTCAGAAATTAAACTGTCGTAGAGTGGCAGAAAGAAGCCATCAGAACCTCGCCATGTTGGGATAGTATAATTCATCACATTGCACTGGGATAAAACATTCTTCAGCTGAGCATGTCACTGGATCCCCCAACAAGTGCCCTTCTATCTTCTGAGTGCAGAGTAACAACAATTCCCAGATACACGAGGAGATGACATGTAATCGGCCTCCTTCATATCTAGCTCTGATATTGTGAATCAGAAAAATCAGCTCAAAGTATGTCAAAAATTGCATTAACACCTATTGTTAATTTATGTTATATCAGAAGTTTTAAATATAATCATTTTAATTTTTTTGGAGACAAAGTCTTGCTCTGTCACCAGGCTGGAATGCAGTGGCAAGATCTCGGCTCACTGCAAACTCCACCTCCCGCGTTCAAGTGATTCTTCTGCCTTAGCCTCCCAAGTAGCTGGGATTACAGGCACATGCCACCACGCCCAACTAATATTTGTGTTTTTAGTAGAGACAAGGTTTCACCATGTTGGCCAGGATGGTCTCCATCTCTTGACCTCATGATCCGCCCATCTTGGCCTCCCAAAGTGCTGGGATTACAGGTGTGAGGCACCACGTCCAGCCAAATATAATCATTTAATAAAATTAAATTGTGATCTTATTCTTCAAAATACATCTATTCTCACAAAGACTACGGAAATAACCAAAATGTAAGAAAGAGAGCAAGTAAGAGAAAACACTAATCAAGGGGAAAAAGGAATATCTACTTTTCTTATGGTTTGGGTATATTTCCCATACACCCAAAAGTCAGCTTAACTCAAAAAAAGAAAGAAGGAAAGAAAAAAAAAAAAAAAAAAAAAGAACCAGGCATAGTAGCACATGCCTGTAGTCAGCTACTCTGGAGGCTTAAGGATCGCTTGAGCCCAATAATTCGAGGCTGAAGTGAGCCATGATCATGCCTGTGAATAGCCACTGTCCTCCTCCAGCTTGGGCAACATAGCAAGTCCCCATCCCTAGATAAGGAAAGAAAGTCACTTGCCAGTGTCTAGCCAACTTTTTCTTAGTGTTTTCATTACTAGTCTTTACTTTACCTTTCCTTGTTTTAGTCACATAAGAAATGGAGCAAGTTTGACCTAATATCCATAAAGGAGCAAAAAAGAAAAAGAATGTATGCTAATAGGTAAAACACTCTACATTTTATACCTCACCAATTCCTGATGCTTAGAAAATGCCAGACAAGCAATAAATGGATGAATATACTTTTCAAATCTAGCATAAAGTCAAGGATTTTATTTATATTTTACCTGGCACTTCAAACTACTTTCACTGTCTTCTGCAAATAAATTTCAGGATTTTAAAAAGAAATTTCTGGAAATAATTTTTATTAAATATGTTACTTAGACTAAATCTTTGCAACAGACATACCAAGAAGCCTATTTCAAATTCCAACACCATAATTTTTCCTATCTTATACATCAAAAGATTCTATTTCAATTGGACATGTTATATTGAAATTATATTCCTGACTCTCTAACATACTTATGATAGAGAACTATTATCTAAACAAAATAGACCAAAGTAAAACTCTAGTAAGAGCAAAAAAAAAAATATTTGCCTGCAATACCTGAATGAGTGAGAGGAAACTGAAAAAAGAGAATTCAGGCTTTTTTCTCTTTCTAATATCTAATCAGTGGTTTCTTCCTTATTGCTTTGAAGGATGAGCCAAATATGTATTTGATGAAATATTAATATATATATTAAGCTTTTAAGAAAGCTTGGATACATGATGCTTAACTACTGCAACTACCTGCCTCTGTCTCTAGTACTCAGCTTTAGGAAGCAGAATCAGAGGCTTAGCTTTGAAACAATAAATGTAAAGTTTCCATTTGGATCAATCTTCATGTATTTCAAAGAAACACATACATACATTATTATCACTAAATGTTTTAATCACTACTAAAATATAGTAACAATCCAAATTCCATGTAGGATAACCATAATTAATGATTGTCGCTGTGCCAGCCAAGAAAAAAAAATAAATTTTATTTGAAAATACAGCCTGAAAGATTAGAAAGCATCAATCCCAATGAGCTACTTAAAAATAAGCCTTTATTGTCAGTGCCAGCATTAAAATGCATGCAGTCTATACAGAAGTAAGTCCAAGAGTTCTTTTTTAAATTAAAAAGGAAATTTAATTAACAGAAAACTGAAAGAATATTAGAATAAAACAAATTCTAGTATTTACCATTGATGCCTTACTTCAACTTTCATGAAAGTTAATGACAGAATACAGATAAAAGACTATAAGAAGGTCAGCCTAAATGCAATAGTTAAAGAACTGAAAGGTAATGTAAACATAAGGTTTTAAATAAACACATTTGTTTGACTAATAAAGTTAAAAAATCAACTTTTGTTGAGATATTACTTTAGCATAATCCATTTGTAACAGAATGTCATAAAGTACATAACTAAGTGGATGGATGGATGGATGGATGGATAACTGGATGGATCATTATAAGACCTATAATATTTTTAATGTTCAACATAACTAAAAGAACAAGAGATATCTATCCTACCTTCTGAACATCAGCATCATGTTTCTGTTGTAGTCTAAGCTTTTCTTCATGAAATTTAGCTTCCATCATTTTTGTTTTCATGTCCAACTTCAAGAAAAATATTTCAAAAGTGTTATTAGTTTACTTTTCCCTTTAACAAAAAAATACACAATTAAATTAAAATAATTTCCTATAAAAAGACAGTTATTTTCCACTTTGACCTTGTAGTCACAGATTCTAGCAATCACATTACATATACCAACATGTCTATTACAGTTCTCCAATTACTTGCAAACTAGTTAAAGGTCTTTAAAATAAATTTCACCTGGTAAGCAAAACTGACAATACTAAGTACAGATTCACTACTCTCTCCCACTCTCTCCTGCACAAAAGTAAAAGGCATTTTAAAGTGATATTTCCTTTTACATTTAAATCCACACAGTATTTTACTCTTTATTATTTTTCATTTCAGTAAGTCTCTTCCAACCTTTTTTTTCTTTGATCACATCTATGTGCTCATTTAAAAATACTCGAATTAACCTCTTCATTTTTGCAGAAAGGAGGCTGGATGATCTGATTCCATGCAAAGATCCTTCACAGAAGCATTTTTGGGGTCTACTGAAAGGGAACTAAACCCAAAAAACAATATGACAAAGCTGGCCAGGTCTAGGAGACATGACTCATTGCCAGATCTTTCCATAACACCTTCTAGAGAACATGTCACACCCTCAGCTTCTGAGGATAAGCCCGAAATACCATGTGAGTGTGCTACCATAATCCCAACTCAACACCTCTAACTGGCCCCACCTTTATTCCTAACTTGGTCAATAAATATTGACCAAGTTAGGAATAAATACCTGACACATGCTTAAGCAACCCATTAGCTAGCAAACAATCATTCAGATTCTCTCTCAAGAATCTAAACTAACACATCAAATTAGCTATTTTGGGGAGCAAACCCAAGTTTTGAAGTGTAGCAACCAAGAGAAAGCAGATGAACTCAGTATATAGAAAAAAGTAGAGCAAAGACACAAATAAAGCAAAGATTAGAAACCACACAACATCTGAAATATGAAGGAAGCAAACTCAGGCTCCAATGGTCTCAGTGACACTAGCATTAGTTGAACTCAAAAGGATTTTTGTGTCTCTTTTTATTTTAGGTAGCTTGATAGATCTCTGTTGTTACAACAAAAGATATTTGTCTAAATTATATTCTTCTTGTTATAAGTTTTTGCCTAGGCATAATATTAAACTTACAGAAAAGTTGCAATAATAGCACAAGGAACTCCCATATACCCTTTACCCAGATTCACCAATTGTTTATACTTTGCCCTATGCTTTGTCATTTTATGTCTTTATCTACCTCTATATATATATATATAAATACATGTATATTACTTCCTCAATCATTTGTAAATTAGAAGTGTCATGCCTCTTTAGCCCTAAAAACTTCAATATATATTTCCCTAGAACAAGAACACTGTTTTTAATAACCACAGCACAGTTATCAAACTGAGAAAATGTACTATTAACATGATGATATTATCTAATGCACAGTTTATACTCAACTTTTACAAATTATCACAGTAATGTCATTTATAGCGATCATTTTTCACAATCCAGGATCCAATCCAGAATCACACACTGCTTTTAGCTGTCACACCAACTATTTATTTCTCCTTTCTTTGTTGTTTAGTGACCTTGACATTTTTGAAGAGTACACACAGTTATTAAATGTCTCTCTATTTGGATTTGTCTGATGTTTCCTCATGACTAGATGCATAAGATTTTGGCAAGAATGACACTAAAGTGATACTGTGTCCTTTTTCATTGTATCATATTAGAAGGAGGCTAGTTTGTCCCAATATCTCCAACGTACATTTAGTAACTTGGTTAAGATAGTAAGCACCAAGTTACTATAAGGGTAATATTACAAAGAAAGTTTCTCCACTGCCATCCTTTTAAAAAATTAAGAGTATCTCCTCTCTGGAAACTTTTACCTTGATGCCACAGAATAACTCTATATTTCCACCCTGTACTCTAGCATAGAAATCCTAGATGTATTATGTACAACTAGGGCATGATGCCTGATAAAACATCAGGATTAGAATATAGAAACAATCTTACTACTATAGTATATAAAGACAATATAAGGGTACAGATTTAGATATAGATGCAGATATAAATAAAGATATGTACATATGTGTTTCATCTATATAGACTGAAACTGAAAAACGTTTCTAATTAGTTTGACATCCAAGGAACCGTGTCTTCAAAAAACATTTGGAAAACATATTTGGGGGAATAATCAAGAAAAACTTCCCTGGCTTTGCTAGAGGCCTAGACATCCAAATATAAGAAGCACAAAGAACACCTGGGAAATTAATTGCAAAAAGATCAACACCTAGGCACCTTGTCATCAGGGTATACTGGATATTAGCCCTTTGTCAGATACATAGATTGTGAAGATTTCTCCCACTCTGTGGGTTGTCTGTTTACTCTTCTGACTGTTCCTTATAACATGCAAAAGCTCTTTAGTTTAATTAAGTCCCAACTATTTATCTTTGTTTTCATTGCATTTGCTTTTGGGTTCTTGGTCATGAAATCCTGCCTAAGCCAATGTCTACAAGGGGTTTTCCAAAGCTTTCTTCTAGAATTTTTATAGTTTCAGGTCTTAGATGAAGTCCTTAATCCATCTTGGTTGGTTTTTGGATAAAGTGAGAGATGAGGATTCAGTTTTATTCTCCTACATGTGGCTAGCCAATTATCCCAGCACCATTTGTTGAAAAGGGTGTCCTTTCCCCACTTTATGTTTTTGTTTGCTTTGTCAAAGATCAGTGGGCTGTAAGTTTTTGGGTTTATTTCTGGGTTCTTTATTCAGTTCTATTCCGTGGTTCTGTATCTTTTAAGTGGAACATTTAGGCCATTTATATTCAATGTTAGAATTGAAATGTGAGGTACCATTGCACTCATCATGCTCTTGTTGCCTGCATACTTTGGTTTTTTTGTTTTTGTGTTTTAACTTGTATTTTTGTTTTATAGGTCCTGTGTGATTTATGCTTTAAAAAGATTCTGTTTTGATGTGTTTCCAGGATTTGTTTCAAGATTCGGAGCTCCTTTTAGCAGTTCTCATAGTCGTGGCTTGGTAGTGGCGAGTTCTCTCAGCTTTTGTTTGTCTGACAAAGACTGTATCTTTCTTTCATATATAATGCTTAGTTTCACTAGATACGAAATTCTTGGCTGATAATTGTTTTGTTTTCGGAGGCTGAAGATAGGGCCCCAATCCCTTCTACCTTGTAGGGTTTCTGCTGAGAAATCTGCTATTAATCTGATAAGTTTTCCTCTATAGGTTACCTGGTGCTTTTGTCTCACATGTCTTAAGATTATTTCCTTCACCTTAACATTCATATATATATAAATGTGGGTGGAAAAACTACCTGTTGGCTACTATGCTCACTACCTAAGTGATGGAATCCATAACCTAAATCTTAGCATCACACCATATACCCATGTAACAAACCTGCATGTATTCTCCCTGTATCTAAAATAAAATTAAATTTTTTTCTGAGATTTTTATGCAAAATGTTTTTAAATAAGCCAACTATATGCTGTCTACAAATGATCTATATTAAATGGAATGGCACAAATAGGTTGAAAATTAAAAGATACAAAAAGATATATCATGCAACTTTAAGGAGTACTATAAAAGATAAAGACGGCTATTTAATAACAATAGAAGATACCCTAAATATGTGTATACCTAATAGCAAAGTTTCTATTTTTATACAGCATAAATATATAAATTATATCCAGCATATGGAAAGAACTGTTACAACTCAATAAGATGATGATGTGTTTTAAAGTGTTTAGTAAAAGACTTGAATAAATACGTAATATAAAAAGATAATAAATAAGCACATTAAAAGATGCTCAATATCATTAGTCCTCAGGAAAGACAAATTAAAACAACCATAAACTCAAGCTACAAAAATATACGAGGGAACCTTAAGTGCATACTGCTAAGTAAAAGAAGCCAGTCTGAAAAAGCCAACAATATGACATTCTAGAAAAGGCAAAATTATAGACAGTAAAAAGATCAATGGTTACGAAAAGTTTAGGGGGTGGAAAGGAGGGATGAAGAGGTGGAGCACAGATGATTTTTACAGCAATGAAAGCATTCTGTATTATACTATAATGGTGGACATTATGCATTTACCAAAACCCACAAAACTGGGAACACAAAGGGTGAACCTTGATGTAAACTATGAATTTTTGTTAATATTAATATATCAATATTGGTTGTGATATTGTGCCACTGCACTCCAGCCTGGGCAACAGAGTGAGACTCTGTCTCAAAAAAAAAAAAAAAAAAAATCTCCTTGAGTGTAAAGATTTTCTACTTATAGTATAAACAGTTAAATTTTAGGAGAATTAACAAGGTCACAGGATCACTTTACTCAACTGAATATTTACAAACTTTCAACTAAGGAGTTTGCTGGAAGGAATATTTCAGTGTTCCAGCCACTCAGCCATTCAACATTCACTACCACAGAAGAGCAGATTTCTTATTCAAAATTTACATGTGTAAGTTTTGTTTAACATTGTATCCTAAAATTAGCAACATACCAAAATAAAATAGAATAATTATTAATGACTCTTAAAGAAAAAAATATAGTAATTTATTTAGATAGGCATCATCTACACATTTTAAAATACCAAGGAAGTCCCTCTAATATTGACCAACTACCTCAATCATGTTAAAAGGAACAAAATGTACCAGAAAAATCAAATTTATTTTGATGTAGAAAATAAATCTACAAACTTTACAAGCATTCAATGAAGTGTAAAATGTAGCCACTGTAATATTACTAAAGTTTTTCAAAATATTAATTTACTCTGCCTATGTAGCAATTAAATTATAAGGCATAAAAGGTCTAAAACATCACTGAGGTCAACCTTTTGTACTGTCCTGCTATTTCCAAGCATTATCAGTAACCACTGAATGACATATTTACTTAGTCACACCTTTTTATATTTCAACATCATCACTCATTATATTGTAAAACAAGTGATTTATAAAATAATCACTCAGGCACTTAACTGTTACA